TACAGGGTGAGTTACTAAGCGCGCGGTGGTCCATATCTCCTATTAGACTATCCAAGATGCTGTCAAACTTGAATTAAAATGGCCGCCAAGAGGCACACAAACCCTTTGTTTATGTGTCATCAAATTTGTCATCAAATAATGTATGAGCTTAAAATAGGGCTCATTATGAATTATTTGCGTTCTGATACTTAAAGTGTATTTAAATTGTGTATGTAAATAGTAGTTAGTTCTCAAAAACACGAAAAACATGCCTACAACGTGTTGTAGCATTAAATGTGGAAGTCGTGGACATCGGCACATTCTTAAATTTTTTCAAATTCCAAGTGAAAAAAACAATACAAATCAAAACACAACACTGTACGGTGGAGTTGAAATAAATAAATATTTTCACATCAAAGGTAGATCCTGCGTGTCTAAAGTGAAATGCAGGTAGAGCAACCTTGCCCAAATGATAAGGATTGCGTAATAGGGTAGAAACTGGCAAAAATTGGGACGCACACAATAGAAAATAAGTATTGAATTATGATTATTAATGACATAACATAATGACGTTATGGTTTGTGTTTGTGTCGATGTTTGTATGCCTCTTGTCGGCCATATTTTGCTTGTCAAAGTCACGTGTTTTGGATAGTCTAAGGGCCGATACTTTTGCTCTCGATTAACAAATTTGATACGTTGTCAAAGTTTTGCATGGGCCAAGGTCTATAAGTATTATGTGGTTAGAGCACATTCTAAGCCCTGATTATTTTTAACGGCTGTCAAATAACAGCAAAAGTACCGGCACTAATACTAACGGAGATCGGAGAACAAACTACATACGAAACTTGTAGATAAACATGCGTACTACATTCATAAATTATTTTCCAGTATACAAGGTGGCCCAATAAGTAGTAGTGACACAAAGTTATGTTTTTTTAAATGACTCTCTCTATATATTATGACATTTATGGATTCTGTAGAAAATTCTAGACATATTTCATGTATAATGTCATATACTTATCTTCAACTGTTTCGGAAATATTGACAGTTGAAAATTGACTTTTTTGCATCTTTGACAGACTGTGAAACCAATACGGTTAATTTTAGAGGAAACCGGATTTCACATTCCTATCTTAGATTTTCATAAGCTATCATTTGACATCAACTTTGAATTTAACTGAAGATTAATAATTTAGGCGGAATTTTTAATCATGGATTAAATTCAAGATTGGTGCCAAATGATAGTTTATGAAAAACTAAGACAGGAATGTAAAATCCGGTTTCCTCTAAAATTAACCGTTCAGGTTTTACAGTCTGTCAAAGATGGAAAAAAGTTAGTTTTCAACTGTCAATATTGACAATATTTCCGAAACAGTTGAAGATAGGTATATGACATTGTACATTAAATATGTCTAGAATTTTTCGCAGAAACCAGAAATCTCATAATATACAGGGGGAGTCATTTAAAAAATACAAAACCTTGTGTCACTACTAGTTATTGGGCCACCCTGTATACTGGAAAATAATTTAGGAATGTAGTACTCATGTTTATCTACAAGTTTTGTATTTAGTTTTTTCTCCGATCTCCGTTAGTATAGGGGATATGGACCACCGCGCGCTTAGTAACTCACCCTGCATAAGTATTATGACATTTCTGGATTCAGCGGAAAATTATATATAGACATATTTCATGTACAATGTCATATACCTAACTTCAACTGGTTTGGAAATATTAACAGTTGAAAACTGACTTTTTTGCATCTTTGACAGACTGTAAAACCTGAACGGTTAATTTTACAAAAAAAACGGATTTTACATTCCTATCTTAGTTTTTCATAAACTATCATTTCGCACCAATCTTGAATTTAATCCATGATTAAAAATTTCGCCTACTTAAATTATTAATCTTTGGTTAAATTCAAAGTTGTTGTCAAATGATAGCTTATGAAAATCTAAGATAGGAATGTGAAATCCGTTTTCCTCTAAAATTAACCGTTTAGGTTTCATAGTCTGTCAAAGATGCAAAAATGTCAATTTTCAACTGTCAATATTTCCAAAACAGTTGAAGATAGGTATATGACATTATAAATAAAATGTCTAGAATTTTTCGCAGAATCCAGAAATGTCATAATATACAGGGCGAGATACAGGGTGAGTCATTTTAAAAAACATAACTTTGTGTCATCACTAGTTATTGGGCCAGCCTGTATACTGGAAAATAATTTAGGAATGTAGTACTCATGTTTTGTATTTAGTTTTTTCTCCTATCTCTGTTAGTATAGGAGATATGGACCACCACGCGCTTAGTAACTCACCCTGTATAGGATCCACACTATAAGAGTTTCTCAAAGAGCTTATTTATTACGTACTTAAACCTATTTTAGTCTATTTGAGTTTTTTTAAAAAGGTATCCAATTGACCATAAAATTGCACAACTTTGCCCTTGACTTTGCCTCAACTTAACTCTCTTATAGTGTCCAAGATTCCAATAATGGTCACCTACAAATTTGGGATACTGTGTTAATTTTTCGAAATTTCATTGGTAGAGGCGAGGGTAGGGGTGTCCGAGGGCTTGCCTCCCATAGCCAGCCACACACGAAGATTTCGGCGCGCAAGTTTGGAATGTTTCGTTCCAAAAGTCGCAAGAGAAATGTCAGTTAGTGGAGTGTCACGATAACAAAGTTTGCGCGTTCTGACAAGTTTAGCGCGCAAATCGCAAGTGCAAGAGTTAATTGCACATAAATGGAGTTTCTTATTGTTTTCCAGGAATTTTAAATTTATTTTCTATATGAATGACAGTCAGTAAATGTTTAAGTATGATATTTAATAGAAATTATCAGTAATGACTAATGAATTAGGTAATTAAGCAAATAACCCTTAAAATGTAAAGGGAATTCAAGGCAAATTGAAAGAAAAAAAAAAAAAATTATAGAATATATTTCTAGGTATAACATTTATAATTTTATCGTCTATATAGGTATAGAGTTGATTCGCTCACAAAAAAAGTTTAATTTATTAGTCGTTCATCTGCTGGAATTGCATATGTGGTTCTAGTAACTTCATAAGATGGTCAAATGTTGCATAATTCATTCTAAGATAATTTCGAACATCATATGGATTTTTTCCTCTAAGTTCCATTACAAGTGGTATATGACCATATATTGCCCTTTCTTCCAACCATTTTTTTGACCAAGTGGATCGTTTTTTCTTTTTTTGACTTTTGTAAAGAATATGCATACAGAATAGCACATGCAATAACTTTTATTTTTTTTTATTGAGTAAAGTAAAAACATAACTACTAGTAAATTTACGAAAACAGTAAATCTCGTAAAATTCACACACTCTTAGCAAAACTGTTAGAATTTCTAAAATGCCAAATGCTGTTCCAAATCTTTTCGATTTAAGGCACTTTTAAGCCATTAACGAAATACTTTGGAGCGTCAGACTAAAATCTGTAGGCTAAACCCGCATGTAATTTTTGAACGTTTGTGGGCAAAGACGCTCATATGCGTGCCGTTCCCAGCATGTACATCTGGAACGCCTCGCATCTACTCGCATTTAGCCAGCCACACACGAAAATTTCGGCGCGCAAGTTTGAAGTGTGCTGTTCCAAAAGTCGCAAGAGAAGTGTAAGTTAGTGGAGTGTCACGATAACAGGTTTTGCGCGTTCTTACAAGTTTGGCGCGCAAATCGCACGTGCAAGAGTTAATTCCACATAAACGTAGACTCTTGTTATTTTTCTGGAATTTCAAATTTATTTTCGAAATGGGTGACAGTCGGAAAGTACCTAAGTATGATATTTAATAGAAATTACCTCGGAAATTACCATAGACCATTGGATAAGGTTTCATTAATTAAACAAATAACCGAGCAAATAACCCTTAAAATGTAAAGGGAACTCAAGGCAAATTAAAAAATATATATATAGGTATTATACCTACACCATTTCCAAATCCAAGCAGCAGTAAATGACATAACATAACGTCAACCATAGGTATAACATTTATAATTTTATCGCCTATATAATAGAGTTGATTCGTTCACAAAAAAAGTTTAATTTATTGAAAAGGTGGTATATGACCATATATTGCCCTTTCTTCCAACCATTTTTTTGACCAAGTGGATCGTTTTTTCTTTTCTTGACTTATTTGTAAAGAATATGCATACAGCATAGCACATGCAATAACTTTTCTTTTTTTTTAATGAGTGAAACATAATTAGGTACTAGTGAATTTACAAAAACAGTACACCTCGTAAAATTCACACACTCTTAGCAAAACTGTTAGAATTTCTAAAATGCCAGATGCCGTTCCAAATATTTCCGATTTAAGACACTTCTAACCCATTAACGAAACACTTTGGAACGTCAGACTAAAATCTGTAGGCTAAACCCGCATGTATTTTTTGAACGTTTGTGGACAAAGACGCTCATATGCGTGCCGTTCCAAGCATCTACATCCGGAACGTCTCGCATCTACGCGTGTTATAAACTTTTCGTGTGTGGCTGGCTATTATAATCTTTTCGTGTGTGGCTGGCTAACGTCACAGACCTAATAGAGTTCAAGTTGTAGAGACAAATTGAGACCTCGATTGAGACACTTTCTTGGTCAAAATTAAATACCTAAATCCAAAGAAAATTAAAGGCGGGCCAAAATTAAATACTTGTCAAAAGACGCCAAATCTTGTTGAATTACCCTCGGAATTACCTAAAATTTGAATAAATAATAATAAGTATTTGTGTAAATCTGGGTTTCTCAACTTTTATGAAATATTGATGGCAAATTTTGCATATTCCTTGGTAGTTATATCTATTTAGTTGAATGCTAGCATTGCTGTATTGTACTAGATTGAAAATTGATAGAAACAAACCCTGCAATAAACATACTTGCAGAATTGCATCAGCATGTTCTATTTGAACCAATAAAAAGCTAGTTATCAGTTATCACTGTTATCAGATTATTTGTCTAAAATTTTTCATAAAAAGATGAAACAATACTAAAATACTGACAAAATTACATTACCTCCTAAGCTCTTTACAAAACCTTTTCTTGATTTTTTAGGCATGATGAACTTGAAACTGTATATCCTAGAGTCACAGCTAGAGTGTAAATTATAAAACCAAGAAGGCTGGACATCATTTGCAATAGTTTTAACTACAAAGGGAACATTTTGAAAAATTTCATCACATTATCTATCACATTCATTTATCAACTCAACAGTGCACCAACTAAACATAAACAACAGACATGTACAAACCGGTTCAAACAAAACAGACTACTTGACAGCAAAAGTTTGTAAAATCAGCTGTTTGATTTTTCCCTGCGGCCTGCATTGAACCAATGATGCCAAATTTCAATAAACTTTTGAGGAATGCGAATTATTTAAATTTACTTTAAAATACCTATGATTAATTAATTTATCCCAGTTCTAATTTCATTGAATTTCCATTACCTCTCTGCACTTTTTCTATCAAAAATACACAAAAATTCTTTGATTGAGTGGTGCTGCCATCTGTCTCTGAGAGAGCCAACTGTTAGCGTAGGGACACGGAATACGGATGCTGTTTTACCGGCAGCAGAAATGGGGCTTGTTTGACACGGACTGCTTTCATGGCTGTCAAGCAGGGCAACTTTTATGTATCTTGTGTATGTAGTTAGAAGATATGGGGATAGATTTTAAAGGTGTGTCGTTGTAAATAAGAGAAAATAATGTTTATATTTGTAAATAAACAACTTATGACAATGTGCTTATGTGAATATGAGGCCCGGTTTCAGTGTTCGCTGCCGTTGTTTCCCTAGAAAAAGTATCGGGTATTTAACCTAGGGGGTTGAAAGTTCTCCTTTCGACATTTGTTCTTTCGCGTGCAATTTGCAACAAATAAACATCAAAAATGTGGAATATGATGTGCGACGTGATGCCGACGATATCGGAGGACAGCATCAGCCAGAGAAGTTCTCAATTTTCCGGCGAGGATGCGAATTTTGAACAGTTAATGGTCTCCATGCTAGATGAAAGGGACAAATTGATGGACAGTTTGCGGGAGACCCAGGAACGGTTAGGAGAGACGGAAATAAAATTGATAGAAACTGAAAAGGAACGGGACTCGCTCCAGAGACAAATAGCAGCGAATTTACCACAGGTAAGCCACTGACAGGCGCGTATTTAACGCCGCTTTCGGCCGACCTTACTTGTAGGTTTACTTGGGGCATTATTGATTCTTTTACGATTCTTTTATGCCCTTTAAAATCTAAGAAAAAAGTCTTGCAAATCATGCCTACACATCTTCTGCAGGTTAAATCATTCATGTCTTCCTACCAGTTGTAAAAGTAGTACACCCTAATTAATAATTATCCAATATCAACCAGGACTTTCGTCCAATCAGAAGAGATCATTGCACCTGTCAATTTGTTTCCTTGGTGACCAAATTTTAAAAATATTCTCTTCACTCGGAGGTTTATGACTGTTGTGGAATGGCATTTCCATTTTCTAAATATAGATAAAAGCTGATTTAGTAGTAATGTAGTAATAAATATTTAATTAAATAACCATTAAAGAAATTGGTGTTTTAAAAGTGTAGGTTGTGTCTGGGTTGGTCGGTTTTTGTTGGTTTCTTACTCGGTCTCTTGAGTTTGAAGCAATTGACATACTTACCTCTCGACTTACCTACTCAGTATTTATTACTCTATGGAAGATTATAGGTCTGTTTCTGTAGTCAGAGCGAATTTCTTTGGTTAAAAACAGTCAGAAAACTAGTTTCCCAATGAAATTTGCTCTGACTGGTTTGTGATTTCTGCAGAAACAGACCTATTACCATTGCCTAAGATTTGAGAGTAAGGGTCAGTTTTCTCAGTGTACAATTAGTTAGGTACTTCTCGTAACATTACAGCCTCGATTACAACCATGTTTAGAATCAGGAAAAAATCATTATAAAAAATGGAAAACTTATTGACCAAGCCAAACCGAGGTTATTTTTGGATCGACGCAAAAAAAAAATTATTATCTTAACATTTCAATAGCTTTCTGATAATGGTGGTACCGAGGGTGGTACCTATGGTGGTCTCGATGATGGTAGTATGGATACCAAATTTGGTACCACCGTTATAACAACTTTTGAGTAGCTGTCAAGTAGTCAAGTGAGGACAGGAAAGTGAAACTCGTTTTCTCCTATTTTCAGTTGTTTTCTCTCTGCAAATCGCTAAGAACGTACAAGAAGTTTTCTGACTCTTTTCTACGAATGAAATTTGCTCTGACCGGTTTGTGATTTCTGTGAGAACTAGGGATGTAAGCCAATTTTTCTGACAATGTCATGTCATAGTCAAAATGAAAATGAATCACGTCATTTATTTTTATGACACTCTTGTCATTTATTTTTTTATTGATTGAATTTTCTGACAGTGAAAATAATAACTGACCATCATAAAAATATATGACCGTCATAAGAGTAATGCCTGTAATTCCGCAGTAATGCCAGTAATGTATCTTAATGCGCATCTGATGCTTTGTAATGCAATAAAATTTGTACATGTATTGCCACCAGTTGTTACTCCTCCGAGCCAAACTTGTCTACAAACAAATCAAAGAAAACTCTGACAAAAAATCAAATAAAATATAAAATGAAGTCATACAAATTTACACTAAATAAGTTACTAACCTACGTATTATCTATTATTTAACTGTAGTTAAATTCATAAAGTAGGTAGGTAAGTACAGTTGAGATTAAAAAAAAGTAGTACAAGAAAAATCTCCAAAATCTCCTGGTCTATTATACATTAGTTTAATTCATAACCAAAAATGACATATTTTTGGCATTTTCCGACAAGTTTTTAACCTAGAAAGCTTCAGATGAAATTATTTTGACATTTTTCCACCGGTTTTTAACCTAGAATATGTCATTGAGTGTCAAAATTTTGTATGTTACTCCTGGAGCTCAAATTGGGGTTGATAATTTTTGTACTACTTTTTTTTGATCGCAACTGTACCTATAGAAAATATTAAATTTAACCTCGAATTTACCCCGAGATTTAACCTGATATAAGTACAAAAAGAATAAACAAAAATATAACATCAACATCCAAGACACAATTATACAGGGTGTCACGAAAGGTTTGTTACAAACTTCTAGGGATGGTAGATCTCGTAAAAATAAAGCTTTTTTCTTAATAAACATGTGTCCGGAAATGCTTCACTTTCCAGATACAGGGTGTTAAACTTTGTAAAAAAAAGCCAATTTTTTTATTAATTCTTTGAAATGCGTTGTACGAATTAAATGAAATTTTCATAGTTTGTTGACACCTTTATGAGGTATCATTTGGACTGCTCAGAGTTGACCCAGTAATTCCAGGGATGTGCCACAGGTTTTGTGGGATGGTTTTTTTGCACGAAAAACATCGTCCAGTAGATTTACTTTCAATTAAGATATGTGTTTTCAATAGAACATTTAAAGATACAACTTTTTTATCTCCTTATTTTTTTCTGTATGCTGCTTAGTTTTCGAGATAAAATTTAAAAACCATTTTAGGCTAACCACGAACGGCACTGACCTCCATAAATATAAAATAAATTGCCACAGAATTACCTGAAATTTTACCAGGCTATTTGTTGCTTAAAAATAAACAAAAAACTTTTTTTCTAAAACGCTCGCACTTCTGAGAATTAATGTAAAAAATGATTTTTTTCACAAAGTTTGACACCCTGTATACAGGGTGCCCCACGGTGGATGGCGTATCAGACGTTTATGGAGAACTAAAAAGCAGATCATTTCGAAAATTTGGCAACCAGGATGAACGACCATAATCTACACTTTAAAAATATTTTTGTTTATGCGGTTTTGCCGTTTCTACTCTCAACCAGTGGCAACATCGCTATTTTAAATGAAACACCCTGTATGTGATTGCATATTTGGATTATACGTAAAATTCTGAGCAGATTTCGTGTGATACACCCTATACCTAAGTTTAACTGTTTTGGAAATATTGACAGTTGAAAATTGACTTTTTGCAACTTATACATGCTGTAAAACCTGAACGGTTAATTTTAGAGGAAACCCGATTTCACATTCCTGTCTTAGATTTTTATAAACTATCATTTGACACCAACTTTGAATTTAATCCATGATTAAAAATTCCAATTAAATTTAATCTCCGATTAAATTCAAAGTTGGTGTCAAATGATAGTTTATAAAAATAATCTAACATAGGAATGTAAAATCGGTTTTCCTCTAAAATTAACCGTTCAGGTTTTGCAGCCTGTCAAAGTTGCAAAAAGTCAATTTTCAACTGTCAATATTTCCAAAACAGTTGAACTTAGGTATAGAATATATCACATGAAATCTGCTCAGAATTTTACGTAGAATCCAAATATGCAATCACATACAGGGTGTTTCATATAAATTAGCGATGTTGCCACTGGTTTAGAGTAGCAGCGGCAACACCGCATAAACAAAAATATTTTTAAAGTGTAGATTAGGGTTGTTCATCTTGGTTGCCAAATTTTCAAAATGATCCGCTCTTCAGTTTTCCATTAACGTCTAATACGCCATCCACCGTGGGACACCCTGTATCTGGAAAACGGAGCATTTCCGGACACATATTTATTAAGAAAAAAGCTTTATTTTTACGAGATCTACCATCCCTAGAAGTTTGTAACAAACCTTTCGTGACACCCTTTATATGTAGGTATATAAAATGTTCCGAAATTATTGCACCAAATTTTTATGGCATATTTTATTCGATATTCTACGTCGAAAATACGCCGTAAAATATTGAATAGACTCTGTCCAACCAACCTACATAGTAGATAAACAATAAACACTTCAAAAGGTTCGTTACTGTTGGTCAATTTTCAGCCCGCTTTACACTATAGAGTGACGTTTTGTAAGATTCTGAAATAAATAAATGGCTAAATCAGGATATAAATTTGTTCTGTTCTCTGGTGAACGCATAGCAGATTGTGCAAAGGCTTTTTAAAATAGGAAACTTGCAATATATTTTTTTTTATTTCAAAAATGTGGTCTACTATACTGAAGACTTAACCCTAGTACCCATGACCGCGAATTGCAGATTTTTTTCTATTGGTTGAATATTGTACAGGGTGTCCAAGATAAGGATGTCTATCATGTGGATTTCGTAAACGGTAGCAGATACGGCAATCGAGACGTCAATGGTTAAATTTGAAAAATTCCCAACATTTTCCGAGATATCTGGAAAAAACCGAAATTTTGCAAAATCGATTTAATTTTTTCCTGAGCTTATTTAAGGAGATACGAGAGGAGATATTTTAAGATAAATGCCACTTCGTCGTTACCACTTTTCCTACTCTACAAGATGACATAATCAATTTTGAAACTTGAAGTTTTTTTCCGGATATCTCGGAAAATGTTCGGAATTTTTCAATTGTCAAAGTACATACCATTTTATTGATCGTTAAATTGCGCAACTTTTCCTAATCTAAGCAACATTGTAAACTCCAACCGTTCTCCAGATCCTAATGCTATCCCATCCTTATCTTGGACACACTGTACTGTACCTATACCTTTCTCGATACCTTTATACAGGGTGTCTCAGGTAAAAGTAACTATATGTGGATTTTGGAAACGGTAAGAGATACAATTTTGGTCAATTGGGAAAAAAGTTGCGCTATTCCGAGCCCAATCAGATGCCGTATGGAAATTAAAAATATCTACAGATACAAAGCTGTGATAACAAAACACAATTGCGGTATTTGTTTCATAACCAACTAAGTGAAAATCTGTTTTTTTAATAAATTTTTTCCTTCGTCCAAACATAGGCCTGTTATACATGGTTTAAAAGCCCTTTCCATGCTCCATTCAATGACGTAAAAAACAATATGGCGGCCAGAAATAACAAAGTTGGCTATGGTTGCAAAAAAACTACAAGGCCTGGAAAAAATGTGTTCACGTCATTCGATTGCCCGTAGTCGCTAATACAAAACTTCCAAATTTTAATTAATTTGTTTACAAAATGATGACAATATTTCAATTTCAATTTTCAATTTCAAAAAACACAATTTTTAGTTTTTGATCGATATTTTGAAAACCCCTGTAGATATTTCCAGTTTCGATGCAGCATCTAATTGGGCTTGGAATAGCGCCATTTTTTTCCCATTTAACCAAAATTGTATCTCT